ATTTACTATGCAACTATAAGATTTACATAAAAAAGAGCAAATTAGGTCAGTTTTGGTTGATGCGGACAAGTAATTTTGTTATACGAGTCAGTCTGAGGTATGAAAACTACTGATATTTGTTTACGATTCAATATTTTGAATAAAATCAGGACATTTTGGCACTCTCAATTGATGCAAACAAAATTTTGTAGTCATTGTGGTCCAATATTGCTATCATTTGTTTTATACAATCCATCCTTACATAAAAATATAACTGATTTACTATGCGATTATAAGATTTACATAAAAAAGAGCAAATTAGGTCAGTTTTGGTTGATGCAGACAAATAATTTTGTTATACGAGTCAGTCTGAGGTATAAAAACTACTGATATTTGTTCACGATTAGATATTTTGAATAAAAAGAGGACATGCTGGCACTATAAATTGATGCGAACCAAATTTTTTAGTCATTGTGGTCCAATATTTCTGTAATTTGTATTATACAGTCCCTTCTGACCTAAAAATATAACTGAATTACTGTGCAGCTATATAGATTGACTTGATAAAGTGCAAATATGGTCAGTTTTGGTAGATGCAGACAAATAATTTTGTTATACAAGTCAGTCTGAGGTATAAAAACTACTGATATTTGTTTACGATTAGATATTTTGAATAAAAAGAGGACATGCTGGCACTATAAATTGATGTGAAACAAATTTTTTAGTCATTGTGGTCCAATATTTCTGTGATATGTATTATACAGTCCCTCCTGACCTAAAAATATAACTGAATTACTGTGCAGCTATATAGATGGACTTGATAAAGTGCAAATATGGTCAGTTTTGGTTGATGCAGACAAATAATTTTGTTATAAGAGTCAGTCTGAGGTATAAAAACTACTGATATTTGTTTACGATTAGATATTTTGAATAAAAAGAGGACATGCTAGCACTATAAATTCATGCGAACCAAATTTTTTAGTTATTGTTTTCCAATATTGCTGTCATTTGTATCATACAATCCATACTGATATAAAAATATTACTGATTTAGTATGCGACTATAAGATTTTCATAAAAAAGAGCAAATTAGGTCAGTTTTGGTTGATGCGCAAAAAATAATTTTGTTATACGAGTCAGTCTGAGGTATGAAAACTACTGATATTTGTTTACGATTCAATATTTTGTATAAAAACAGGACATTTTGGCTTTCTCAATTCATGCGAACAAAGTTTTGTAGTCATTGTGGTCCAATATTGCTATCATTTGTTTTATACAATCCATCCTTACATAAAAATATAACTGATTTACTATGCAACTATAAGATTTACATAAAAAAGAGCAAATTAGGTCAGTTTTGGTTTATGCGGACAAGTTATTTTGTTATACGAGTCAGTCTGAGGTATAAAAACTACTGATATTTGTTTACGATTCAATATTTTGAAAAAAAGAGGACATTTTGGCACTCTCAATTGATGCGAACAAAATTTTGTAGTCATTGTGGTCCAATATTGCTATCATTTGTTTTATACAATCCATCCTTACCTCAAAATATAACTGATTTACTATGCGATTATAAATTTACATAAAAAAGAGCAAATTAGGTCAGTTTTGGTTGATGCAGACAAATAATTTTGTTATACGAGTCAGTCTGAGGTATAAAAACTACTGATATTTGTTCACGAGTAGATATTTTGAATAAAAAGAGGACATGTTGGCACTATAAATTGATGCGAATTAAATGTTTTAGTCATTGTGGTCCAATATTTCTGTAATTTGTATTATACAGTCCCTCCTGACCTAAAAATATAACTGAATTACTGTGCAGCTATATAGATTGACTTGATAAAGTGCAAATATGGTCAGTTTTGGTAGATGCAGACAAATAATTTTGTTATACAAGTCAGTCTGAGGTATGAAAACTACTGATGTTTGTTTACGATTAGATATTTTGAATAAAAAGAGGACATGCTGGTACTATAAATTGAAGCGAACCAAATTTTTTAGTTATTGTTTTCCAATATTGCTGTCATTTGTATTATACAATCCATACTGATGTAAAAATATTACTGATTTAGTATGCGACTATAAGATTTACTTAAAAAAGAGCAAATTAGGTCAGTTTTGGTTGATGCGGAAAAATAATTTTGTTATACGAGTCAGTCTGAGGTATTGAAACTACTGATATTTGTTTACGATTCAATATTTTGAATAAAAATAGGACATTTTGGCTTTCTTAATTCATGCGAACAAAATTTTGCAGTCATTGTGGTCCAATATTGCTATCATTTGTTTTGTACAATCCATCCTTACATACAAATATAACTGATTTACTATGCAATTTTAAGATTTATATAAAAAAGAGCAAATTAGGTCAGTTTTGGTTAATGCGTAAAAATAATTTTGTTATACGAGTCAGTCTGAGGTATGAAAACTACTGATATTTGTTTACGATTAGATATTTTGAATAAAAATAGGACATTTTGGCTTTCTTAATTCATGCGAACAAAATTTTGTAGTCATTGTGGTCCATTATTGCTATCATTTGTTTTGTACAATCCATCCTTGCATAAAAATATAACTGATTTACTATGCAACTATAAGATTTATAGAAAAAAGAGCAAATTAGGTCAGTTTTGGTTGATGCAGACATGTAATTTTTTTATACGAGTCAGTCTGAGGTATGAAAACTACTGATATTTGTTTACGATTAGATATTTTGAATAAAAAGAGGACATTTTGGCACTCTCAATTGATGCGAACAAAATTTTGTAGTCATTGTGGTCCAATATGGCTATCATTTGTTTTATACAATCCATCCTTACATAAAAATATAACTGATTTACTATGCGATTATAAGATTTACATAAAAAAGAGCAAATTAGGTCAGTTTTGGTTGATGCAGACAAATAATTTTGTTATACGAGTCAGTCTGAGGTATAAAAACTACTGATATTTGTTTACGATTAGATATTTTGAATAAAAAGAGGACATGCTGGCACTATAAATTGATGTGAATTAAATGTTTTAGTCATTGTGGTCCAATATTTCTGTAATTTGTATTATACAGTCCCTCCTGACCTAAAAATATAACTGAATTACTGTGCAGCTATATAGATTGACTTGATAAAGTGCAAATATGGTCAGTTTTGGTAGATGCAGACAAATAATTTTGTTATACAAGTCAGTCTGAGGTATAAAAACTACTGATATTTGTTTACGATTAGATATTTTGAATAAAAAGAGGACATGCTGGCACTATAAATTGAAGAGAACCAAATTTTTTAGTTATTGTTTTCCAATATTGCTGTCATTTGTATTATACAATCCATACTGATATAAAAATATTACTGATTTAGTATGCGACTATAAGATTTACATAAAAAAGAGCAAATTAGGTCAGTTTTGGTTGATGCGGAAAAATAATTTTGTTATACGAGTCAGTCTGAGGTATGAAAACTACTGATATTTGTTTACGATTCAATATTTTGAATAAAAACAGGACATGCTGGCACTATAAATTGATGCGAACCAAATTTTTTAGTCATTGTTTTCCAATATTGCTGTCATTTGTATTATACAGTCCCTCCTGACCTAAAAATATAACTGAATTACTGAGCGGCTATATGTATTTACTTGATGAAGTGCAGACATGATCATTTTTGGTTAATGAGGTCAATTAATTTTGTTAAACGAGTCATCCTGAGTCGGACAGTGTGAGATGTGAAAAATGCTGGATTTTGGTGATGATTTAATTATTTTAATAAAAGAAGGACATGCTTGAACTGTTTGTTTGTGCAGAAAATAGAAATTTACTATGATCAATTTTCAATTAATTTAAGAGGTGTTATTACATTATTAATTAACTGTTAATGTCTATCGAAAATGAACAGTTGGTCATTTAATTTTGATGTACTTTATCATTTGATATTTAAGGTCAGTGTATCCAGGATACGATGACAATTTGCGTTAACGCGCGTTTACTACAAACAGTAAAAGTGCGTTTACTTTTGACGAAATTAGAAGACGGGCCTTTTTCACGTTAACGCGGAAGTAAACGCGAAAGTAAACGCCCGTTTACTCTTTACAAAATTAGAAGACGCGCCGATTTTGCGTTAACGCGAAGGTAAACGCGAAAGTAAACGCCCGTTTACTTTTTATGTCTACTGAAATTTCTGAGTTAACGCACAGTTAACGCGGCGTTTACTTGAAGTGCACGCGAGTAAACGCCGCGTTAACTTATTCCGCCCGTTTACATGTAATGCTTGGTCTGCACCCAACTGTATATATACATATTTCAAATCCAGCTTAAACTGGACATAACTGCCGAATTATTTCCAGAATTCTTGTATGTTAAAAAAGGAAACAGTAAATATCTACATTATTGCCAAAATTGATTAATGAAAAAAGTACAAGAAATACGTTTCCACAGTTATTAGATTGTTCACTGTTAGCACATTGGCAGAAATGCAAATATAATCAAAGTTTCAAATATATAAATCTGTCATTGATATATAAATGCTTAAAGAACATGAATGTAAACTAACTTTAATAGCATGTAAAAGTTAGGTAGGAATATTGCAAAATTTAACGATCGAAGATCACAGCAAAATTATGTCATCGTCCGGAAACCAATTGTATTGTCACGGACAGCGCCAACTTTTAACTTGGTTTACACAGGCATTAAAAGCAAAGTTGAACATTGTTGAATTTGACTTATGTTTTCTGTCCCTTTTAGTCATATAGTCCCCAATGCATATACAAATTAATGCATCCCTATCTCTTAAATGTTTAGATTTGAGCGTTGCATAAAGTAAAATAACAAAAGTACCGAACTCCGAGGAAAATTCAAAAACGGAAAGTCCGTAGTCAAATGGCAAAATCAAAAGCTCAAACACATGAAACGAATGGATAACAACTGTCATATTCCTGACTTTGTACAGGCATTTTCTTATGTAGAAAATGGTAGATTAAACCTGGTTTTATAGCTAGCTCAATCTCTCACTTGTATGACAGTTGCATATGAAGGTAAATCCAGAAAAGTGCATCGGACGAACAAAATTTATAAATTGTTACTTTTATTTACCAATTATGTATAATAGTTGAAAGTCTAAAAACCATTCTCTAATTACACTGCAGGTAACATCTTTAAAATATTTAGACACGACACTAGAATGGTAACTAAAATAATAAGGATAATCAAAAACTACATTTTATAGTAAACCTACTCTAAGGCAAACATGAGTTATTAGCCGGTGACACTTTTAACTATTTGGAAAAAAAACTTGTTTTGTTTCTATTTTGTTTTCCCTTGTATTTGTATTTACTTGATTTTTACTTTATCGAGAAAGTGTATATACTATATGAGCCAATCCACACAAAAAGTATAAAAACAACAAATTTGCGAAATTCTAAAACATGTAATTATTAGTAGCTGACTTGTGATCTTTAAAACACCGTTGTTTTTCCTAATACGATTAGGCTGTAAGCTATAAACACCTTTCAGTGCTTACACCCCACCTTGTTTTTTTTTTTTTTTTTTTTTTTTTTAGATTTTGCTCAATTATTTCACATTTTTTATTCATTTGTTCACGTAAAGTTTAAGTGTCTTAACGTGCTACTTGATTCAATCAGGTAGCAGTGGGGGTAATGCTCTCGCTTACAAAGCAGAAATCAATAAAATTTAATAGGGGCAACAATCCCGGAAAAGGGCGATTGATTTATATAATATCAATTAACTTATCTTAACTTTCAATTTCAAAAGCACAAAATGACATTGTTTTTGCATTTTTCCTTAGGTTTAACTGTTGTGTTATTACATCTAGAGATGATGAAAACTATTGAACTTTTCTCTCTAATGTGTCGTAAATGGTTTTATTTTAGCTCTGTATAGCATAGTTTTGAGTAACAAATGATTTTACACCTGCCTAAAAACATTCAGATATTTTTACGTCTTTTTCCGTTTTAACTAAGAAGTTCGGAGTATAGTTGAACATTTTACGAATATTTACATTTAAAAAAATTTCCTGATAAAACCGCTTTTCAAAAAATAGTTTAACGAACTTTAACAACGTGTCCTGTAATGTTTTCCACAAAGACTTTTTGTACCTTTTTTCAAAATTATAAGCCTGGTACCTTTGATAGCTATTTACATGGAGTGGCTCATATACAGTTTGTACTATCAACGACAAAAAACGGTTTACTGTTGACGTCATTGTCAAATTTAAACTTTACAGTCTACTACAGCTTTTTTGTTGTCGTCTTTGTTAGATTGATTTGTATGCTAGTTTGCAATCTTATAGTCAGTTGTGTTGTATGTCAGTGATATATGTTATATCGTTTTGATGAGGGATCCAAGTTATTGCCACGTTAATCTATTGTATATGTTTAGGTTGCTCGCCAAATGTTATCAATATATCGGAACTTTAACCAACGTCGTACAAGTGGAAGGTTGGGCTAGCTATAAAACCAGGTTTAACCAACCATTTTCCTCGGAAAATTTGTGTACCAAGTCAGGAATGTGGCTGCTGTTTTTCATTTATTCCGTTGGTTGATAGAGTTTGATTTCGTTTGTTTTTGTTTACCTCCCCTTTCGTTCACTAACTCGTAGTTTTGGCCCTAAAAATCTGAGTTCTTTTAACGTCGATGATGTTGTGCAAATACTATGTACACATATGTTTAAAGTCCAACCGTTTCAGTTATAAAAAGATTTTTCAACAATTACGTCAGAAGTGATGTATTTGTTACACCATAAATGTAGGTGAATTTGTGAAACTCTTGATTTTTGGCATAGTTTGGTGAAATTTATTTCAGTTTTCTGAATAAAATAGAAACAGTAGCACAATCCCTCGCCCAAAAATATTGTTGATGAAATATTTTCATTGCACCATATTCTTTACCTTTTAACCAAAATTTTAATAGGCGAGATGTGGCGTAACAAATGAAATCATTACAAAAAGGTCGAAAAAAGATTATGAATTTCCTGAAAAATAGACTACAATGAATTCTTTAAATGAATTGTAAATATAACGGAATTTGATAAGACTGTCGTACAAGTGAGAGGTTTAGCGCTTTAAAACCAGGTCCAATCCACCATTTTCTACACTTGAAAATGCCTGTACCAAGTCAGGAATATGACAGTTGTTGTCCATTCGTTTGATGTGTTTTGTCATTTGATTTTGCCATGTGATTAGGGACTTTCCGATTGAATTTTCCTCGGAGTTCAGTTTTTTTGTGATTTTACTTTTTACCTATTTCAGGCTAATATATATGTAAGTTATGAAGCAGATATACATTTTTTCTTATCATACATTCAACAGTAATAGTATAGCATTTGGCAATACATACACAGTAAATTTACTCGATCAATTACAGTTTTTAACATGCACCTTCACTGGGCCGTTTATTGGGATTTTTGGCTGTACTCCTTTTGCTTGGTGTTCGGTATTTTGCTTTTGCGTGTTACTTTTCTTCCTAACAAATGCCCATGAATGCAATTAAGACAAACATAATTTAAAAGATACATTTTTTAAATTTTGTATCGCCTCGGAAATATTAAAGCAGTATAACTTATGCAAAACGTACAGAATTAACTGTACCTTTTAATAGGTTAGGAGATACTGAAAACAATTGTAACATATTTCTAGCTTCCATCAGGTCAAATAAGAAATTCGTTCAGACAAAAATATAACTACAACTGTTTTATACATTTTATGTAATAAAACCAACTACAGCTACGTAATTTTCTTATTTAATGAATACACTTTTTTGTCTAACTTCTTTAGAGGCTGCAAATCACATTGCAATTAGTGATTATTGTTGTCTACGCACAACCAGAAGTTAAAGGACCACCAGCAGAACCAGATACTAAAGGACCACCAGGAGAACCAGTTACTAAAGGACCACCAGCAGAACCAGTTACTAAAGGACCACCAGCAGAACCAGCTACTAAAGGACCACCAGCAGAACCAGTTACTAAAGGACCACCAGCAGAACCAGATACTAAAGGACCACCAGCAGAACCAGTTACTAAAGGACCACCAGCAGAACCAGTTACTAAAGGACCACCAGCAGAACCAGATACTAAAGGACCACCAGCAGAACCAGTTACTAAAGGACCACCAGGAGAACCAGTTACTAAAGGACCACCAGGAGAACCAGATACTAAAGGACCACCAGCAGAACCAGTTACTAAAGGACCACCAGCAGAACCAGTTACTAAAGGACCACCAGCAGAACCAAATACTAAAGGACCACCAGCAGAACCAGTTACTAAAGGACCACCAGGAGAACCAGTTACTAAAGGACCACCAGCAGAACCAGTTACTAAAGGACCACCAGCAGAACCAGTTACTAAAGGACCACCAGCAGAACCAGATACTAAAGGACCACCAGGAGAACCAGTTACTAAAGGACCACTAGGAGAACCAGTTACTAAAGGACCACCAGGAAAACCAGATACTAAAGAACCACCAGGAGAACAAGATACTAAAGGACCACCAGGAGAACCAGTTACTAAAGGACCACCAGGAGAACCAGTTACTAAAGGACCACCAGGAGAACCAGATACTAAAGGACCACCAGGAGAACCAGTTACTAAAGGACCACCAGCAGAACCATAGAAGGACCACCAGGAGAACCAGTTACTAAAGGACCACCAGCAGAACCAGATTCTAAAGTACCACCAGCAGAACCAGTTACTAAAGGACCACCAGTAGAACCAGTTACTAAAGGACCACCAGCAGAACCAGATACTAAAGGACCACCAGCAGAACCAGTTACTAAAGGACCACCAGCAGAACCATAAAGGACCACCAGCAGAACCAGTTACTAAAGGACCACCAGGAGAACCAGATACTAAAGGACCACCAGGAGAACCAGTTACTAAAGGACCACCAGCAGAACCAGTTACTAAAGGACCACCAGCAGAACCAGTTACTAAAGGACCACCAGCAGAACCATAAAGGACCACCAGCAGAACCAGTTACTAAAGGACCACCAGGACAACCAGATACTCAAGGACCATCAGGAGAACCAGTTACAAAAGGACCACCAGAAGAACCAGATACTAAAGGACCACCAGCAGAACCAGTTACTAAAGAACCACCAGCAGAACCAGTTACTAAAGGACCACCAGCAGAACCAGATACTAAAGGACCACCAGCAGAACCAGTTACTAAAGGACCACCAGCAGAACCAGTTACTAAAGGACCACCAGCAGAACCAGTTACTAAAGGACCACCAGGAGAACCAGATACTAAAGGACCACCAGCAGAACCAGTTACTAAAGGACCACCAGCAGAACCAGATACTAAAGGACCACCAGCAGAACCAGTTACTAAAGGACCACCAGCAGAACCAGTTACTAAAGGACCACCAGCAGAACCAGTTACTAAAGGACCACCAGCAGAACCAGATACTAAAGGACCACCAGCAGAACCAGTTACTAAAGGACCACCAGCAGAACCAGATACTAAAGGACCACCAGCAGAACCAGTTACTAAAGGACCACCAGCAGAACCAGATACTAAAGGACCTCCTATGCGAGTTTGCTTCCAACCAAAAGAACCTCCTATAGAAGAATTGGTTGCAGCAAAAACTGCTGGCAAATATCCTACGTAAGTACATTCTGACTTGTAAAAATATATATATAACCTTATGAATCTTCCAATGTAGTGATATATCGACCAATTGGTTAATTAATAAATATATGCAATACATTTCAACAAACATGTGAAGTTAAAATGGTAAGCACTTACTTTGGAAAAAAAAGTTCAATGACATATAACTATGCATAAATATTTGGTATCTTAGTTATATACTGACGGACTGTAGAAACGCAACACACATTTGTGGTATTTGTTTTTACCAAATCGTGATTGATCCTTATAGATCTACTATTCATGCTTACCATACTTCTTTATTTTTTTGATAACTCAATACCTGACTTACCTCAGGTTATTGAACATACCGGATTATTAGAGTCGCACAAATTTCTTAAAGCAAAATTTGAAACCCATAAATGATTTTTTTCAGGTTGTTTTTCTCGTGATACAATTTTTTCAATCCCTATCCATACTTGAGTCATTAGAAAAAATGTTGCCTCTCCATATTGACTTGACGAGACTGAACAATGAAAATCCGAATCAGACCATAGGAATATTGCATGGAGGAATACGTGGATGTGCTGTTTCTCGTCCAGAATTGACCTAACTGTCCTTACAATAACGGTGCGGTGCAGGCAGGCTGGATTTGTTGGTGACCATCCATGACCAGATTAATATGTAGTGACAACGCTACGTCAATAAAATTTTATTATGCAAAGTCATTTGCGAGACTAGTTTAAAATGCCTCAATATCAACTGCTTAGTTAGTCGTCGAATGCCATGGCAGACGGATTCACACCAAACATGATTACCATATACTGAAATGGCAACAAATCGACGGCAGAAAAATATTAAAGCAATAAAAAGTTAAAACCGCTTAATTTCCAAAGCACTCTGTAATGCATGGGACAGAGGCAAAATCAGAAGGCAAAAAACAGAACTCAAAACATGCCCAACAGAATTGGTTGACTGTTCTGACAACCATTATGGTGTTGGTTACAGGCAGTCATTGCCTTCAACGGTGAAACATCCAATTCTATGTCAAGTAGAAAAATAGGGTTTTAATGCATACCGCATGATTTGAACATTAAAAACGACGTCATCAGTTAAACTTTCGAACTGCAAACTTTTTTTAGACAATTAAGAAATGAACAAAACTCGTGTTTATACTTTTTTTCAGAACAAAATGCATATTTGAAAATGGGAATAAAAAAGAATAATCTAGTGTTGCATTTTTAAGTCCGTCAGTATAGTAATCCTATTTGTACAACTAGTTATACAAGTTTTATTATTTATTCATATCCTTTAAAATTTATGTCATTATAAGTATTTTGGACTATTATGATTGACAAATGTAATAAATATATCAGTCCGAAGGAAGAGGTATGGTCAAGGGCTAAAAAATATCACATTATGTATATGGCTTTCAAAAGCCTGACATTATGAAAACAAACATAAAGACAAACCGTAGTTCATAAAACACTTAAGGAATTAGCTCACCAAACAGAAGTCATAGGATCAGGTGCTCCTGACAGAATCAACACTACCTGATCATAATGTAAGATCCGTCTTCGTACTATGATATGTACAAATACAAGTACCATGTGAATTACGTTAACGTGAAGAAAGGACTGGATTTGTACTCCGACAACTATACTGTACAGGTGGAAATCAGTGATTGACAAGTATATTGCATATCATTCAACTTAATTTATGGTGTTGGTCATAAAAGTTAAGAAGAATCACTTCAATAGATATAGGAAGGTGTGGTATGAGTGCCAATGAGACAACTCTCCATCCAAGTTACAATTTATAAAAGTAAACCATTATAGGTCAAGGGACGGCCTTCAACACTAAGCATTGGCTCACACCGAACATTTAAAATCTAACTTCAAACCTTTTAAAATAAAAAAAAACACCTGACAAATGTCTTGAATACAGTATCATCCTTCATATATATTGTAACATAAGGCGGTATTCAACGACCGACATATATATATTACGAGACAAATATAAACTTTGAAAACGCTATTTCATTCAAAAAAAATATATTCTCATGGCATGAAAGGATAACGCATTCGGAGTCAAACGCTAGGAAAATAAACTTAATTAGTTGTTTCAAACGAAATAAAGTTCGAATCTTTCATTCGTACGTACAATGTATAAAAGGAGTTGTGGCGTATTCGTCGATGAACATCAACCAAACAACAACAAATCAGGAGACAACAAACGCCAACATAATGTCTGTCTTCAATATTAGACAAATGCCTATGCAATATGTCAAGCTTTTAAAAGTTTGTGAATGTTGTCCCAGCACAGAATGTATTAGAACGATCTCATATCTGTCATTAGCAGCTAATTATTCGAAATAACAAATTACACTCAGATATGGCACGACTGCTGCTAAGAAGGTATTTTGCAAAAATGACAGGAAACATAAGTGTTTTAAATCTCAGCAAACCTCGTTTAAATCTTCATCATAAAATTTACAAAGCGTAAAAGCAAAACATGCACTATACAAACAAGTATAGTAAAACACTTAAATTGATACTATTTAACTGTCTGATTATCTTTGTTTCCTAACTTATATTACTTTGCTTATATAATTCCAGTGCAGTTATTAGAAAAGCCATTATCATGCCAACAACTGGTTTTAGAATAAATGTGTTTATTTCCGATGCAAAGACCCCATGAGTGAATCAATATCAATACCGAAATATGCAATCCTTAATGGCTTGACAACAGTATCATAATTTTATCCTTTCCAAATAAGTCTGTTTAAAGGTTTAGTTAGCTTTTGAAGAGAATGCCGACATTTTTGTGCTTTGTAAAGAATATTACCATAAAATATTGGATGTGAAATACCTGAACGTATAAGATGTCTGCATGTTGATTTATATTTACGAATGGTGTCCTTGTACCGATGATAAAATCTAGTAAATGTTTTGACTAGTTTGTGATATCGAAAACCCTGGTGTAATAATTTTTCAGTAATACAGATATTTCTTTCGTTGAAATCAAATACGTTGTCACATACACGAGCGAATCAAACAAGTTGAGATATATAAACACCATAAGATGGCGACAAGGGAAGTCACCATCCAAAAATGGATAATTAACAAAAGGAAATGAACAATCATCTCTTTTGATCATAAATTTTGGTATTAAGCTTCCCGTTAAAGAAAAAGATATCAATATCCAGAAAAAGGCAGTGTTCATTGTTAGTATTAGCTTTATTTAAAGTCAGTTCGGCAGGATATATCTCTTTCGTGTACATACTGAAGTCGTCATTCTTGAGAGCCAATATATCATCTTAATATCTAAAAGTGTTATTAAATTTTTGAATCAGATGTTGTTTCGATGGGTCTTTGCTGATTTTAGTCATCAATTGTAACTCATAACAATACAGAAACAGGTCTGCAATAAGTGGTGCACCTGACGATATACAGAATCTCCATAGCGAACAAAAATGTTATCCAGTAAAAATACAAGGGCAGTTATAGTATCAAAGCAGGTCCAATTGACATAGTTCTTTTGTTTGTTGTTACTAAAAAATGACCTTAAAGAGTTTGAACATATATATTCGCATTCCGACTTTTTAAATGTCCATTTAATCAGGTGTGTGAATTTTTTCTCAATACGATTATGAGGCAACGTGGTATATAGGGTAGAAAAATCAAAACTTTGAACAGATACGAAATCACCAATATAAGCATGCAATTTATCAAGTACTTCCAACGAATTTTTGACACTCCAAAAGTAATTAATTCCACTATTTTCAAAGGCCTTATTTGAACAATCTATAGCAGGTTTTTGATTGTACCAAGTGTACTAGTAAGTAGAATAGATAGTTTAGTAGTGGAACAATGGCTTGAAGACGAAATAAATCTATATTTGTAAGGAGTTTTGTGCAGCTTCGGAAGCCAGTACATAGTTGGAACTTTCATTGTATTTGGTTCTGCTTGTAAAGAGGTAACAAAGCATGATGGACTACTACGTGTTTACCATCAACCGAGAACACGTGTTTTTTACTGTAATACAACACATGTTTCAATGCATTGCGGTATAAACAATTTCACATAGTTTTTCAACTTTTTATCTACATGACTGTATAGTTCGTGATATAAAATATTCGTTCCATGCTCTGGTTTACGAATAGCCATTAATATTGTTGATGATTAAACGAAGATTTTAGATATACGCCCACAAGACAGCAATGAAACATCAGTGAAAAGCACAATTACCCATAAGATAAACTTTGAACTCATTCAGGTAGTTAGAAAATAAGAGATCCTGAAATTTTGATGGGGTTCGCAAAAAAAGGAGGACTTTTAAAATGTGCATCAAATATCTGTTGGGGTCACTAAAATGTCCAAGTTTTTCAAATAATTGATGTAATGATATTGTACTTACTTTTATGATTAAAGAAAATCATTTAAATTGAGAAAAGGTATGTATTCATTACTTTGTCCCCAAGAAATAAACACAAATACCTTTCAAACAGATTGGTTTTCCATTATCTTGAAATGAGATATTTACTATAGAATTCCAGAAAGTATTTTAACCCTAAACAAAATATGAGTTGCACTATGGCCTTCTTTGATAACGAATATAAAAATATTCATTAAATAATAAGTGGTTTAGGAGGAGTTTCGGATACAATATGAAGTAAAGGCAAAGTTATGAGGTTTATTTCATTATGAAAAGTGGTTAAAGAGGTTAGAGTTGTGGATACAAAAGTGAAACATATCGTACTGGAAGAAAGAACGGACGAACGGACTATATGATACACGGACAGTCAGACTCCAATCACTACATACCTCCGCTTAACCATGAATACAGGGATATAAATATGAATATGTGATCTAGTCATTAAAGATAACCCCTCTTGCAAAAAACTATTTCATGGAACACAAAATAAAGTTGAATGAATTTCGGTTTGTAATACATGTTTTATTTTTATTTATTCTAAAAAGATTTTATCAAAAGATATTGATTTTTCATATGGGTCAAATA